TACAGTTCACTGATCATTACTTTGTTTATGGAATAAAAAGAACAACAATTGCATCCGACTTTCTTATCCGTGGTTGATTTACTTATCGCCTGACTGCACAGCCAAAAAAACCGGCACTGAGGCTGTTCACCTACTTTTAGTCATTATTTTGTGCCCGTTTCAAGCTTACCCAACCCCAAACAATCTGTGCATTCAAATATTTCTGGAATTAGAAAATGCACTACGCTATTAGGTTGGATCCAAATAGTCCATGACAAAAGTGATTTGTAGCAGAGCGATAAATATGGTTGTGATACAAAGCAGCAAATGGGTCCCCGGTGGTTCCACACAAATCACCATTTCCATTTCCATCTTTTTTCTCGCTGCGGTCTCATCCAGTCGATAGTTCAGCGTTTGGGCTACCGTATTCATGCTTCCAACAATACTGAAATGTATTTTCAACTCCACTGTCCGGATCACACCTGAAATTCGGATCAATGAGACATCACGTGACCCAATGGGGTTGCAATTAATCACGCAATCCAAACATACTGTTCTAGGCTCAGACTTTGTCATGGCAAAATGACGTTACATTAATTTTGGGAGCGATCATTGAACTTCACTTATCTGTGTTATGTTTGCAGAAGCTCGATGCTGACTCTGAGAGGATTGTTTACTACGAATCACAGTTACGGGTATGGATAATTTGGCGTACATAAAAAGTGAGATGTCTCATTTTTAACATATCATCACAATTCCCGGCAGTGCACACGATAATGAATGAAATAGTCCTGAGTTATCATTTTGAGTACAGCAATACGCTCTAAGAGGTCTTAATCATATTTGACCGCCAACTGTATACTACTCAAATTTGTGAGTAGTACCTCACAAAACCTGTAAATCGTTGTACGGTGATGGTACATAAATCGCGTAATTATTTGCTTGAGAATCAATCGAACTGATCTGCTTTTGTGCAAGTGAAATCGTTCGATTAACTGAATTTAGGTAACGTTTCTTACCTTTTACTAAACAAGTTTATTATTGTCCAAACTTAACTTTGATTTCATTATCACCATCATTGTAGTAAATATTTGCTCATCCTTCATTGACTCCTTCCAAGTATGTACTACAGAGTTCTTATTGGCTTAGCTGCAAATTGTCTTTTTAAGTTCGATACGTTACTTGGTTCACTTCGCGTCCTAAGGGATGCAGAATCAAAAGCCGAAATTCATTATACACGGTTCTGTAATGCATGGTCAAACATCTATGACGAAACAATAACGTGCAACCAGTGTTAGAAAGCAAACGATTTTAAGACGTAAGCGTATTGTGCGAACTGTTCTTTGGTGTCTTCAAAATGTGCGCGTTGGAATGCGTTTGTATAAATGAGTCATATAATCATGTGGCAATGTTCTTATGCAGACGAAAATTTGATTTAATACCAAGCAGAAATGAGGAGGTGTTAAGATGTAAAATGATTGATAAATGTCGCAATCTTTTGGTGGATGGAATGTGCTACATTAGTAGAACGATAAACCACGCGGAGAATGAAGAGCAATAATGTTAATTAAATAATCACACTACTGAAATGGTAAATCAGTAGGCCAACAGTCTAGAATGGAATATTTCACGTGATACTTTTTCTCGCTCTTCAGAATTTCTTACAGAGAACTGGACGTATCCTATTCACTTTAGTCATTCCCGGTTTCCCAATGTGTTAGACAAACCAGCAATGATATCCCATCATGGAGCGTCTTTCCATGACACTGTTTTCTCCCAATCACCGAAAATGATTGTTTCCGATCAGGTTGGTATATTGTATTTCGAATTTGTCCGACTGCAGGTAACTTACCAAACAAATTATAGGACACAAATCTTTAAAATGGAGATCAGTCTATTTTTCTAGTGGGTAAAGTACTGCCAGATTACCCTTGCTGGAGCAGGTGAACCTTCTTTAGAGTTTCAAAACCGGAGTCTTCAGTTAACCAGAGCCGGACCCGCAAGGCGGTGTGTGAAAACCTCAGCCCATGCAGGACCGGTATCCAGTTCATCGAATCATGCGCATTTTGGACAGGATCAAACTTTTAGGGTACCTAATTAAGCCGAAGACTAAAGTAATAATCAGGGGACTGTGNTTTTCAATCCGTTTCCAGCCATTACCCCGAGGTGAACCGACAGTGGTTCGTCGATCTGGTTTTGACTTTTCGTTCTCTCAATTTGATGGGGAACTAACTCCGCAAGGTAATGGGAGTTCATTCCACGTTTTACAACCACCAACCATGCATTTTCGTGCGGTAGATTTGTCTACCCATTTGGGCGGAAGATTGGAGTATTAAAGGCAGTATCAGAGTGGACTAAGGTTGCAGCAAGTTTGAGAAGAGACGCATGAGCTCCACTGTTTGCGACACCCATCCGTAGCATTCAATGTATCTAATCCTCGCTCAAGCTGATCCGGAGGTCCCCATTCTGGGAGCCTAACAGTTTTGGTTTAGTTTCTTTTGTACAACCATTAACCATGCACTTTCGTGTGCCGGTTTTGGTTGCTGTTTTGGATGAACAGTAGGAGAAGCCTAACACATACTGTGTGACTGGTCTCCCGGGTACGGTTTTAATACACTCGGCAAACGTCGCGATCTATTTAGTGGCATGCGTAACGCATGCCCAAATCAGCGTTTTTCCTCAGAGATTGACCGCGAGTGCCTAATACTCTGCGTTTCACCTCAGCATTGCTTGTCCGGTTTACCCACCAGACTCACAGAACGCAACATAGACAGCGGTATTCAAATTCCGACAGCCTATTGTTATCCTGTCTCCGTAGTGGCCAAGTTTCTGCATCGTCTGGCACCACCGTCCTAACATAGTTACACCAGCGCTCAGACAAACCAGAAAAGCTGGGAGCCCAACCGGATCTTCATTTAGTGGTACAATTTCATCCGCAATACCCCAATATCAAACGGTCTACCACCTCGGAACAAATCAGTAGCACCATCCTTGCCTGAGGACAAGATTGCTTCAAGAATCGTATCCAAAGTTGAGCAAAACTGGATAGAGAGAGCAATGCTGACGAACACTGCTCTCTGAGTAGGCCCCGGCTGTAACAATATTGGAATACTGAAATAAACTTATGGGGCACATCTTTCAGATAAAGACTGCCAGAGTGCGGAGCCGTCGATTGGCTCGAGAGCCGCTTTTAAATCGTAGAAGATAGAAATGATGTCTTCGAAAGTAATGTCTGAGTTCCAGAATTTATCGAAAGACGAAAATATGATGCACCATTCTCAAGTGCGGCAGACATTGGACTGATTATTGTACCTGCAGTGAACTTTAGAGACGATGTTGATCAAATGTTAATTTCTCTGATGTTTCTACAGGATGATCTGTCGCCTTTGTTATGAATCAGTGAGTTGACCGACTCACAACATTCAGTTGGATCCCGTTCACTCTCTCATATTGAACCCAGAAGTTTCGCAAACTCCTTGACGAAGGATGAAATTTTGGAAGCCAATGGGGACATTTTACCTTGATCGGTGGCTTTATGCCACGTGAATGCAATGACAAGAGATTCATTGATCTCGTGGAACCATTCATGTCACTTATCCTGACTACTCCGAAGTTTTCGAAACGGGACATCATGGACGCATCGGGATCGTTGACAGGCCTCAATTGCTTCCATTTTGTTCCAGTATGAATGACGTATCGTTTCGAAAACTACCGTTACTTATCTAATGGTACATGCAACCTAATCCAAATACTACTAATATCATATTAATAGTCTACACTTGGCAGAGATCTCCCTCCACAGGACATTATTCCCTCCCGTTGAGACTATTCTCTAAATCCAGTTCGTTCCATTATTATTTGTCCTTCGATTTTGAAACAGCTTTGTGTTACTTAATTAGTCACCATTTGCTGTTTTGCATCAACTGAACATCAAGCGCTCTAATATTCTTTATATAGAGTAGACAAAAGACAGTCAAATTGTGCATAGACCACGTCAGAATAGCCGTTTATACAGGTTCGAAAACATATTCGTGACTCGCAACACGATTAGTGTTTTCGTGCTTCTTCAAATTTGTCACACTATGATACAATGCCCGGATATTCCGACGCGGTGAAGTGGCCCTGAGCAGCGACTCTTACGGGAACCGCCTCCTAACAACCAGTATGAAGAAAATCTTGGAACAAGGCCTATTGTAACACGAACAGCTAGTGAGAGTCCAATGAGTGGACTCTTTGTACATCTGTCGTAGATGACATTCTTTAGTTAAATATTACCACAAATTACGTAGCTAAAGCAAAATTACACACCTGATTCAGTCACGAAAGGATGTGAGCCAGAAAAATTAAATTAGTCTCCGAAAGAAACAAAACTTACTGGCTGCAAACATAATAAAAATCATTCCAAACATAAGCGGTCCATCACGACGCCTGCCTTTCCGTCTCAGGACACGACGAAACACGTCCAAACCGATAATGATCACGGAGCAGGTGATATCCATGGGCCAGATCGCGGAATAGTCCAACCATTTCACAAAAATTGTGCTCACTATGGCCAACAGAAAGGAATGTTTCGGACTGGATTAATTTGTAAGTTCAGAAGCGTAATTCATATCCCACTGATTGGATATGGGTGGTTTTATCGTATATAAGTTGAAACTTAATTTCGAGTCTCTACCGATGTTCCAACAAACGTTCAGTGCACCAACCACTGACAATAAAAGTCTAAAAGTCACAGATTATCGGGATACACGATCGTGCTGTATGTGGGAATATTTCAGTAACTAAAATTCCGCTGTAGTGTGATGTTCGTACACGCGTGATGTATTAGACATATGACGTAAAGTGTTGAATATTATTATTATTATGAAACTATACATATCTCCGAATCTGGACTGCATGTCCGAAAAATCATGGTGCAACATTATGAAGGAGAAAGAAGTTAAACAGTGTTTTGTTCCCAGTTAGACCACATTGGTCAAATCAAATCAACTGGCTTATTCAGGATTTCGAACTGAAGATTCTGACTGCCAAAATTTAATCTGTAATACAGCTGGGATGCTGTCCGGTTGGTCGGATAGGGTTCCCTTTAGTCATTTTTGATCCGTCTTACTCATTACTCTTGTAACCCTTGTCTAAATGAGCGTGAGCGAATTTAGGTACCGCTTGACGACGATAGACGTGTGTGAAATATCATACAAATTCAGAGTATTGATTCATTTAATTGAACAGACTGAATCTTCACGATTAACATTGTCGAAGTTTCAAAAGAAAAGACCAAATTGCAATACTGCACAATTTATGTCCAGGAAGATTTCTCTTGAAATTGATCTCGGGAAAGGCTTGCTTCAGTTTTCTCAACACTCGAAATTTACGAAAATTTCCAAAAAGGCTCAGGTGTGTATATATGGTATTTGTCGCGGTGATTGACATATCGCAAAACCTTTTTTCGCAGACTACTAAGAAAGCGACAGCTTAAAACATATAGAAAAAGATTATTTTATCGTTATACAGGTTAGGAATAGCTCAGTCACTCCATTGGTACCAAACACAAACCAAAATCGATCCAGAGAAGTTTTCTTCAGATTCTATAGTTGGAAAAGTCATGCCAGTTTCTAGTTCTAAATTGAAACGTTCGACGATAACAATAATGCAAATGTATTTATTGTTTCGTGTTCCCGTTATTCGTGAACACATAGTTCACGGGAATTCATAATGCAACCCAACAGACTCGGTCATATAGGTCGCGTTAGACCGCCTGGATGGAGACCCCGAGATCTGATGTAGCCCATGGCTAGGGATACTCAGTAATATGGATGAATGTCATAAACAGTGGTGTTCGTGTATCTTCTCAAATTCTGTGCAATCACAGTCAACTAAAATTCTTCCGTTTCTTCTCGACTGTACTTTCAAGACAGCAACCGAAACTGGCGCACGAAAATACACGGTTATTGGTTGTAGAATACTGAAACCGAATATACAGCCCAATCGTATAACACTCAAGGTCATCTCAAACGAAAATGGGTTGTCTAGCTATCGATTCACAAAATTAGTTCCTTTATATCAAGGTCATTTTATTGTTTCTGGCAGCAGTCGAGAAATATCAAAACAAAACAATCTGGGTTCATTTTGAGTTGTTACAAGAAACGCTACAGGCACGTATTACGCGCACGATATAGAACAGATGAGTATATATACATGTACCACCTGACGCCGGACTGTGTGCCAAACAAGTCAGGGTACAATAATCTGTAACAAAAAAGAGAAACGTTCCACGATTTGCATGTGGTCTGGATACTGCCAACTTGTCTGTCTTCCAAAATGCGCTAGCTGAAAAGCCAGAACCAACGCCACCCGATAATGATAACCAGCTTATCAAGAATGCTCTGCACTCTACTGGCTTAGTTAGTTGTAGTCTGACACGTCGCGCCGTGACACCCTGGATCTCTGCGGAGTCTCTACGCCATGTTGACGCACGTCGGTCAATTCCGACCGGCAGCGAGCATAATGAAACACGACTCGTAACGAGACGTGAACTCAATGCAAGCCTACGCAGAGACCGCGAGATTTGGTGGTCTCAACGCGCATCAGAGATGGAACGTGCTGTCGCCATGGGTAATTTCCGTAAGCTGTTCCGCTTCATCCCGGTCACCGGTAGGAAAGCCTCGGGTGTGCGTGAAACGATCTGCGAAGCTGACGGTCGCCCATTCACAATCAACAGCGACGTCTTGCACGCTGCGCGGAGCACTTCAAAGCACAGTTT